GATTTAAAAAACCCCCCCCCCCCCCGTCTACGACAATCACCAGTGACCAAAATCCTGTTTTCACTGTTCAAATGTCAATGCACCTAGTAATATAAACAAGTTAATACAATCAGTCCCTAGAAATCAAATCAAGGGTCAAACAACTAAATGCTGTTAGTATAGATGAATGTAGAGAAAGAACAAGTGGCTGCACATGATCTATTGCTCAGTTACCGTGAATCGGTTTTTCTGACTATTTGGTTTTTATTATCATTTAATATGAAAAAAAAAGTTCAGGTCAGCAATCAGGTTAAGTTAGATTTATTTCTTCAAACCAGGTTGGATGTTCTATAAATTGTAGAGGAACGGATGCCTTTTCACTGGAGCTCGTTCTGCTGTAATCACATTTAAAATTCTTCTCATAGACTTTTGCAGAGGAGCACTGATGATGCTGTTTGGTTACTGTATTGGACTGGTGCTAAACTGCTCTAAAAAAGGCCTGGTATTGCTCTGTGTAGCATAATGACACACATAAAGCATGCTAATGGTGCCCTCTGGAGTACAGGGATCTCTACTGCTGCTCTACTGTTTTCCCATTCAGACGGTTCCGATGACTCACCCACAGCACTCACATGTTCACACAGCCACAAAGGTCTGACTCTATTGCAATAAATCAACATGCCTCAAGTTAAATAAATTACTTCTAGTGCTACCATCATAATGTTCTAGTTGAGAAATTTAAAAATACAGTCCATGCCATGTTGGAACCTGAATGACAGTATCCTCTATCACAGTGCTGTTTTTCCGATCAGCGAGTAGTGCTGTGGTTTCCATGCGAGTGCAGCTGTAATTGGAGCATTTGTGTTGCTGTGAGTTACTGTTCCCTGGGCAGAGACCAGTCCACACCAGAGCATTCCTCTACATGTCCACAGACTTTCCAGTGAGCTTACCAAATGTGCCTGTGAGGAAAGTTTTGCAGTGTGCTATTCTGAGATCAAATTAAAGCAAAGCTGTTGTAACCCATTGACCTTGCTTTTATTTCATATTCTTATTGGCTGCCCAAAATACTGTACATTCCCAAGTGAGTTAAATGAGCATGTGTAGACACTAGGAGGCAATGATATTCTTCACACAGAGCGTTTTACACATATGATGCCCTCTGTCCCTCGTGGCAATTACTGTGCAAATTTGTTCAGGCTCAGGTGGCAAAAGTGACTTAAATTGAAAATGACAGCAACAAATGTAGCTTCAGTGAAAAGGCAAAACAAAAACGGTTAAGTACAGACAAGTGAGTTAGACTAACTCTGCGCCTGAGGTATTGTAAATGACAGCAGCAAAATCGTCCGTATTGCCTAGTCTGTTGGAGGCCATTTGAATGTCCTGTTGAAGAACCATTAAGGCATTAGATTTAAATTGCATCTGCTCTTTCGTCTTACAAGGTCTCAGAGACACTTGTTAAATGCTGTTGTAGTGCCTTTTACTGAGAACATTGGGTACATAGGTGCCCTACACCTGTCAGATGGAGTTGTTTTATATAAAGTAGGATTCACAGCAGTAGCAGGTGACCTGGTTTAGAATAGCAATGAGTCCAGCAGCCAAACAAAACTTCCCAAAACTGCTTACAAGAAGGGAGGAGTGACCTGATACAAACCATGGTGCATTACTGATGTGTTGAATGATGGTTCTTAACATTTAGGTAGTAAAGTGTATTTCTGACATCAACCCTCAGGGATTCATTTCCATTTAATCTCACTTATGCCCTTTTCGTAAAGTATAGATGTTGGCAGATATATGTTCTCCTGGAGTAGGCTAGGGGTTAATTATGATATTCAAAGATACTTGAGTGGGTATGACCATCCACAGGGTTAAGAGTAAGCCTTCCATTGGGGGGCATGGTGTGACCTGTGAGTACCAGTGCCTTACGTGATTGTGTTCCCATAATTCCTAAATTTGATACCATATATTATGTTATGGCTAGTAAAAGGCAGGTGTATACACAGTAGGTGTGTACCTAAGTGTGTGTTCTGGGCCAGCTCTGGCTGTGATGATTTATTATACTGCCTGAAGGGACGTGAGGTCATATGGCTAACATGGCAGTCTGGCATCACACACCATTCTCTTCGGCCCTGCTGGCCATAGGTTGCCATGCCAAGCGGCTAAAAGAGAGCCCAGTTTGCACAAAATTCAAGCACAAAGTTAAGTATTCAACATATTCACTTTGACACACACACAACTACTCATACATTAATGTGCACAAACACACACACAATCAAATACTGTAATCCAGGCTTAATAGTGTTTTATCACCTGCACAGAAAATGTTATGCAAATGCATCTAAGCTATTCCACAAGCATGTCAGATTTAGTCCTGTCTTTAATGCGTCTTTTGCGAGGTTAAGACTGTGCAAATGCACACCTATGAGTTGAAAAGTGCAAAGACTATTTCTCTAGTAACACTGAGGGGATGCTACCAAGGTTTAAAATGGAGTCTCTTAGATTGACCTTGGATGATCATTTAGAGCCAGGCTTTCACTTAAGGGCTGAACCACAATCTTTTATCTTTATTTTATTCTTCTCCTTATTTTTCTTGCCAACACAAGCCTGCAGACTCAAAGTGGATTCATACAACTAAAGTAGGTATGCTCTGTCTACCACTGAGACATCTTGGGAAAAACCACTGAACTTAAATGACTGTGTTCTGGAGAATACAGTCAACTTAAATTTGCAAAATGACGGCAGTATGAAAAAAGATGTGCTGAAGTGTGTGAGCTACAGTTTACAGCTGTTGTCTTCCCTCTCAGTTGGTCACTCAATAAATCCACAGAATAAAAAGAGCAGAAAGACAAACGTGACATATTTGTGTGTTCTCCCCTAAATATGCTCAGCCTGGTGTCCTTTTGCCTGCCCTGTCACAGTAAATAAACAGCTGCATTGATGAGAGTAGTCCATAAACATCATGCTGATACTAGACTACATTTCATCCACTGCTTCCTTTGCTTTGATGAGTTAATCCTCCTCAGGCAAACAGTCTTGACATCGGTTGATTCAGTTATTGACAGAATAGTGGCTGTGCTGCAGTTTGTATTGTTGAAAGTTTTGTGTCACATTTTCTGCTCAGTTGTATCAGATGGAAACCTCATCCGACTGGTTGTTTCTCATCTCCTAGGTGGGGGAAAAGGGGGCAGTCATTTTAGTGGCGTGTCGGCGAGGTAAACCCGCAGCAGTAGGCAGCATGTTGGCACCTGCATGAGCCCGAGAGAGGAGCCTCATTTCTTGGTGAGTATTCTTTCTGCTTTCAGCAAGAGCAGCTGTTTTCCTCACATCAACCTTTCAATATTAAACTTTACATTTGTTGTACATCCTGTATTTTAATGGTGGCTTTATCTCATTAGTTCTAAAGAAAAAAAAACTCAATTGGAAAGAAGCCACAGCATTTTGTCTTCACTTCAGGCTCTTAACGAGATAAGCTGCTTTAAGAATTACATTTTGAATTAATAATGAGCTGTAGACTGTGTTATTGTTAATGCAGCATTTTGTCTTCACTTCAAGCTCTTAACGAGATAAGCTGCTTTAAGAATTACATTTTGAATTAATAATGAGCTGTAGACTGTGTTATTGTTAATGGTAAACAGTTATAACTTTATGACATAAGCCTGTTTCCTTTATAAAAATGTGAAATAGTTTTTAATTTAGCAGATTTTCTTTCCTGGCCTTATGTGTGAGTCACTGAAGACAAACACAAACAGTTGATATTAAAAGCTAGATGAATATCTTAAATAAATATCAGTCAGAACAATGTTGGTACATTTTCTGAACACTTGCTAATAACACATTAAAGACACCCCCAGCTGTTGTGCAGTGTCTTTAATAGTGCTGATAGCCCAGTGAGGAGTTTTCAGTTAATTTGGCTGGAGGTGGTGATAAAAAAAAAAAAGGAACGACAGAGATTTTGACTACCGTAATTAGCACAAATACTTTCACCTCACCTTATTTAAAAACAACACTCTGGGTCTATCCTTCTCACACCCTAACCGCTAACAATAATCTAATACACTTCAGGCCACATTATGTAAAGATGAAACTTATCAACTCCGATTGGAAGATGATAAAAAGGCTTCACGCATGCAGCTCAGACTGAAGTGTTCTGAATGAAAAATCCACCTGCTAGCTCTGCATTTCAAACCACTTTTGTTTATGTGGGTATAAAGACTTCCTGTAGCCCTCTGGGACGAGAACTGTCAAACAAATAAAATCCCTGTTGTATAGAAAGAGTTATGGGACTCTAAGGGACAGGCACCTAAATTACGGTGTGTGACACACACATGATGCTATTTGAAGCTGGGTGTCATCAGCACAGCTGGCTAAATCAGAGCTGTTAGTGCTTTGTTGGAGAACTCCTTTAATTCTCTCCTCAGTCAACACAGAAAGTGACACTGAACACAAGATGTTACTGAGGGTTGTAATTTGGGCTTCACAGATAAAATATATTTTGAAAATTAACAAAGTTTTATTAATCAATGCTTTAGTGATTTATGACGACTTAATATTCTGTAGCATTTTATATTTGCATTTAATTAAACGGGTTGCATCTTGAAAACAGCACAAACATTAGCATCAATGCAATAAAAAAAAAGGTTTCCTTGCTTTGTGAAAGATTTTCAGCCATATTTTGAAGCATTTCCATTTTATGTGAATTATCTCTGAGGTAAGGGAAAATAAATTAGCACTGAAACAACAGCAACAAAGCAACAAGGAGGCTAATGAAGAACAAACAGTCAACTCACCTGGATCAGGTGGGGTACCTGCCAGTAGAATAATAGAATATATAATATCATGGAAAACCTAAAGTCCATATTTGGATAAATAATCACTGAACAGCAATTCTCCTTGTACAACACCTATATTATTGTTGTTAAACTAACATAATTATAATCCCTGGAATTTGTGCAGATGTATAAGCTATACATTTGAAAGCATTATGTAATGTAACGTCTAAAATGGCTACCGGCACTGCCACCACATACATCACTAAGCAGACAGGGTGTGATCACAGATCAAATTCACAGAATTGTTTTCCAGATTTAAATAAGGTCTGAAATACTAAAACCTGCTCTCAGAAGAGAAAATCTCTGCCCTGGGCCTGTGCAGTGATGTTGCTGAGAAAATACATTCAGCCAGGCATAAATATTGCAGGGTGAGTACACAGAGGGCTTTTTGGCTGATGAATTATTACAAAGTCCAGTGGCTTTATGCCAGCCTCACAGTATATCTTCACCCTGCAATAAGCTGTAGCTGGGGAGTTGTGGTTATAGGCATGCCACAAATAACTACCAACGATACTAGGAATCCATCACACTCATCCCACATGTTGTGTGCTTACACTTGAGCACACTCAACAACAGCCGGTTAGCAGAAACACACACACGGCAGAGGACTAAGAACTGCCTGTGAGGCCAGAGTGAGAGCAAGAACACCCACCGAATGTATGCACTATGCTATATACAGTCAAGAAGACCATATTTTTACAACAAACACATGCAGTACAGTATGCCTGGATATTTTCTGCGTGGGGAAGTGCTGCCAGGGAGGCAGTGAAAGTGTCTGCCTGAATATTCGCCTCCAGGATGCTTTGATAGATGGTTTATCCCCCAGCAAAGTAAACAGTGCCAACTCTTTGTGCTCACTGATAGAAGAGCAAATGTGGATGAATAATATCTATTCGCTCAACATCAGTAGAACAAGCTTGTGAAATGAGTCCACCCTCTACTTTTTTCTGCTAAATCACTTTTCATTTGCACAAGATAATCATGTAACCTAGCGGAGCATGAAGAAAACGGTTAATACATCTGAGTTTAGACTGCCAATACAATGAGAAAAAGAGAAGATCAAAATAAGCATCTAAATGGGAAAGGACTGTCGCTCAGCATGCTGCATTGTCAAACCAAAGAAATATCGGGCAGGTAGGATCTTTTAGTGATTAGCAAAGGGAAAAAAAAGCATAATCCCCAGACTGCTGACATATTTCTTTTGAAAACCGCCTGTCTGAAAAGGACAGATATGCTCAGGAAAATGGATCAAATCTGTTTCAAGTCAGATAGCAGCCAGTGGTTTCCCAGGGTGAATCTCCACTCAGCCACAGGCAGACAGGATTAGAGATTGAAGTATTGGTCTTAGTAGATCCAAGAAAATACAAAAAAGGGACAACATTAGATGATTAGAGACAACTTATGATAACCTCTTAAATACAGTACATACAGCACACAGCATGTGCTTTGGATCAGCAGGGCTGCTCAGAGGATGTGGGTTCAAATTTATAGCCTACCCTAATTTGTTATAATAAGAGTAGTAGCTTTAACATTACATTGCTATTATGATGATGAGGAAACAAGCATAGCAAATTCATTTTTATTTCCTCTGCAATTTTTGCACCAGAACTGAGCTCCTGTGTGTGTTTAATGAAATGCACGGATTTGTCTCAAAGCACTGTGGATGAAATATTTAGGTCTGGAGCCTATTTCATGAGCATTGCACCCTGACTGCTCATTAGCTGTGAGGCAGGCGATAGTTCTGGTGGTCTTCTGAACGCATTATAAAATCTTACTCTCAAGCAAAGGCGTAAACACTAAGGCTCTAGGAGGCAAAATTAAATTGGTTATTCGTTATGGGTTAATTACGTAATTCCTTATTCAGTATCATAGTGCAAACATTTATGCCTAAAGCAAGTGTTAGGATCTGTTCAGTTCAACCTCTGCATACATAAACTGATTACAATCTCTAAAGGAATAAAAGAGAAATGTTAATATACATCTCCATTAGGATCAGACTTAAGGGTAAAGACTGTTTTTACTATTATTTTAGCAGCTAATCTGTCAGTGAAGTCATCGTGGCTTCAAATTTAATAATCAAATTTATTTATTCGGCTATTTTTCAGTCAAATAGTGGTGTTTACTTTGTCCAGTGTGATACAACCACAAGATGGTGCTGTGCATCATCATTTACCCTCTAAACCTCAACTAAAGGACTCCATCTGAGGCACTGTGACTCACCTCCATCATTAAAGTGATTAGCTTCCATTTGCTTTGATGTGCAATACTGTGGCCTCATAGATACAAGAGAAGCATCATAAACATAAACACCGACTCTCTATCAGTGGCTTCTAGCTTATGTTGTCTACAATCTAAGTCAACTTTCATAG